ATAATTTCAAATGTTATAGGTCATTGAAATGTCGGGGGTTTGTGCTGCATCTGACATTTGGAGTGTTGGTTGCACTGTGATTGAGCTTCTCACATGTGTACCACCATACTATGATCTCCAGCCCATGCCTGCCCTTTTTCGGATTGTGCAGGTAAAATGTTTGTTTGAATTTATTATCATCATATAATTAGAATCATCTTCTTTTGCTCAATGGCATTGCACTCTCATATTTTGGAATTTCATGGTGGTTTGAGATCTTGTTGTTTACTAATCCATGATTATCACACTGATTATAAATGGATTAAAAAAGGAAAAAAAATGAAATGATTACTAGAGAAGGAAAATCTTGATACGATTTTCCAGAACTAATGGACGGAGACTCCTAAGTATTTCTCGGTATATTGTTCCTTTGAATTGGAAGAGTTTTATTATTTTATTTCTTGTTATCCAGGATGAGCATCCTCCGATTCCAGATAGTCTATCTCCTGCTATTACTGATTTCCTGCGTCAGTGCTTTAAGAAGGTGAGCTGGAAAAATTAGATCACATTTACTTATGCAAAATGATTTTCCGATTTCATATTTCAAATCAATTTTGGGCTTCCTTCGTTTACATATTTAACTGTTATTCATCTACTTGCTTATTTTACAAAATCGACTAGGCCACGAGAAAATGATGTACTGAAGACAGGTCAATCAAGATTGAGGGAAATTTGTAATAGGAATGCCGGAATGGATTGATCATAAAAAAGAAAGGAAAATTAAAATAAGAGGATATACATTTTTCACACCCATCTCTACTCTTATTTCCCGTCAAATGAGCAAACATATGGTGAAAATGCAACCGAGATTACTCACATCATATATATCATTAATGTTAATTCAAGTAAATGTACCATTTACATAACTGGTTCATATGTTGATTATTAGATCGGAATTAATGAACTGAAACTTGACATGATAGAATTCTCGCTCAGTGGTTAGATAGGTTAATTTTATTGGCTCTCTTGTCCTAACTCAATTGTTACAAACCAATGTTAGCTTGATTTACTTGTATCAAGGTTCTTGGGTGACACCATTTTGTCATATGTTATCAAGGTAATTTTATTTTTGACGAAATAGTACCGTTTGCTTGGTTTTGGTAGTTGTGGGTAACACAAATGCCATATTAGTGCCATTTTAGTTGCTCCACTTAGCATTTAGTCTAATGTTTCAGGATGCAAGACACAGGCCAGATGCAAAGACATTACTTTCACATCCTTGGATACAGAACTCAAGAAGGGCTTTGCAGTCCTCTCTTCGCCATAGTGGAACTCTGACGTAGCGTTCTCACTGATTCTTCCCTCCCTCCTGTGATACTTTGATATTGCATTTTCATATTAAAGGGTGCTGATTTAGAATCGTGTATTGTTCCAAGC